CCCCCCCCCCCGCCCACGCGGGATCTTTCTCTAGGCCACTTCTGGATAATATAATTCCCCCACCCGCCCCCCTCCTCCGCTTGGGCAGAGATCGATCGATTCCAGAGGAGGCGCTTGGAGCTATCCAGAACGCTAAATATTTGCCTATCTCGTTCTCATTGGCAGGTTATTCCCGGCAGAAGGAAGGGGAAAACCGTTTTTGTTGGTGCTTTTAAAGAAACAATAACCCAAACAAACAAAAGAAACCGATTCCAAGGAGGAATGTTTTCAGATGTGTCTTTTGCGGGATGAAAAGAGTTAGTGAAATCGATCCGGAGTGATTAGCAGCTCCTGGGGTGGAAAACGGGAGGAAAGGCGGCGGCGGCGGCGAGAAAGTTCAGGATTTCTTGGGTTTGGTTATTATGCCAGGTTAAAGGACTTGCGTCCTCTTACGCCTGGAACTATCGGACTGAGGTTTTCGAGGAAAAGTGCCCACTCCTCTCTCTCTTTTGGCAGAGAGAAATAAAATAATCCAGAGGGGTGTATGCAGGGGGGGAAATACTCGCGCCCCCCACATCCTCTGAGTTTACCAGCGCCTCTTTCTCTCTTCGCCGGAAGGTGAGGGGAGAACCGAGCAGGCTGCGCGGAATCCAAGGTTGGAAACTGCCTTGCATAGTTCAAACGTCTCTTTAATTTCTGCTTCCGCCCTTGCAGTTATTAATTATTCCCCTCGCGCTTCACACGGGTCGTGGAAGGGAGACACACAGAGAGAGAGAGAGAGAGAGAGAGAGAGAGAGAGAGAGAGAGAGACGCGCGCACACAGAGAAAGGCACAGAGAAAGAGAGAGAAAGAAAGAGAGAGAGGCAGAGAAGAGAGAGGCAGAGACAGACACACACACACACACACCGACAGACAGAGACAGACAGACAGAGAGACACAGAGACCGAGAGAGAGGCCGAGATGGGCGATTCCTGGACCGTCTCAGGATCCTTTCCTCCATTTGCGCGAACTCAGAGGGAGGCCTCTTTCCAGCGGCCGTCTCAAGCCGCCTCCCTTGATCCGAAGTTGTGAAAATCTTCAGGGAAGCATTGATACCCAGCCGTCAAGCAAGGCCCTCTTCAATTCCGCACCCTTCTTCAATATAGGGAGCAAAGCAACAGCAGCACCAGGAGGACTGGGGTGGGTGGGAGAAGAAGCAATGTTTTAAAATCTTGTTGGAGTGAACTTTGCCCCCTTCTCCCTTCTGATCTCTGGTGCGATTCAGGGTGAGTTCTTCTCTTCCCAACTCACTCGACCCAGAGTTGGGTTTTCTTTCCTTCCCAAAGGGAAAAGTGAAAGAGAAAAAGTGAAACAAAAGTGACCCTGTCCGAAAGTTTTGGGATTTCCAAGAGACTCCTGGAAAAAAAGTAAAAAAAAAAAGAAAGAAAGAAAGAAAGAAAGAAAGAAAAAAAGAAAGAAAGAAAGAAAGAGATCAAGGAAAAGTAAATGAGAAATACATTAAAAACACACATCCATCCACTTAGTAAAAACCCCTCAATTATCTAAGGGGTTTCATCCTCACTTGTGTTTTCATTTCAGTTTAGGAAATGGAGTGGGGGGGTGAGGGGGAAGAAGGCTTTTCTCCTTGCAGCTTGAAATGCACAAAATAGGCTTCCCCCCCCCACCCCCCAGCTTAAAGATAAAACAAGGGATGCCCCAACCCTACAGATTTGTTCTCTGCATTATTGTAGAAGGGGACAAAACAGGAGGTACAATCGCAACTGATTAGAGGCAAACTTCTCTTCAGAAAGTGGGCAGGTTAGCTGAGAAGTTTTTCAGAGATAAGTTTCTCTACTTCTCCCTTTCTTAGGAAAAACAAACAAACTTTTGGAATTTGGAACCAGAAGGATACTAGATACCGGATTCCTAAAAGAAAGAAAGAAAGAAAGAAAGAAAGAAAGAAAGAAAGAAAGAAAGAAAGAAAGAAAGAAAGAAAGAAAGA